TGGCGAAGAAGAAGAGCATTGTCATTGGTCTATGTTGGAGTACATTATCTTTTCTTTCTTTCTTTCTTCTTCTTCTTCTTCTTCTTCTTCTTTTTCTTCTTCTTCTTCTTTCCCTCTCTCTCCTCATAGGTTCACTCATTTCTTTTTGCAATTGGACAACGTTATCCTTTCTGATTAATGTGTACTTCGAAATTGGTGAGGATCATAACATTGGTATCAGAGCATATTCTACTTGCTTAGTCTTGCTAGCGAGAGTTGGTCGTTTTGCTATAACCTTAACCTAAGTGGTAAGGGCTAAACACTTAGGGTTAGGGCAGAAAGTTAGGGTTAAGTGGGGCAGCGTGGTGAAAGGGAAGTTGCTTCCACCTAGCAGGGTCGTGTAGGGTCGACAATAGACCTGGCCAGGTTGCGAGAGTGCACGTTTGTGGTGGCGAGACACAAGGTAGGACTTCGTGATGCAATTGGAGAGAGGCAATAGTGAAGGGCACGTACAACTGGAATCAAGACTTCAGGGAAGGCAAGGAGCGACTTTAGGGCTCCCCTCAAGTTAGGCGAGCTTGAGGGTGGCAACCATATCTGCACCTAAGGACTGCAAGTTGCTACTTTGATCTTCAACATTGACAAGGGGATCTGACGTTGTACTTTGGGGTAGATGTTGACCCTCCTAGATGATAAGACACTAGTGTAGAGGATGCTAATTAGGTCAGGAGGACTATGTGAGAGGGGGTTGAGTTTCTTTTCATCTCAGGAGCCTGGTCGCTCAGGTAAGTGTCGTGCCGCAAGGGTGTCCATGTGTGTGTGCATGGAATTGCCTGCCTCCATAGTCTTGATCCCCTTAGCAGTGAGTGTCCTAGTCCGCAAGAATGAACTCCGCTCTATCCGATTGGGACGCGGAGTTCATGCTTGCGGACTAGGACACTCACTGCTAAGGGGATCGCAACTGAGACGTTTTAACAAACTTTACCACACGATCCAACGCTTGACTCGTACCTTGGACACCACTCAATTCTCTCTGGCATTGTGTAGTAAACTTTGAATTTGATTTGCTGTGACTTTACGCAGCTAAGTCCAATTAGGCTTGAGAGGAGCTCATACGTGGTCGGACCAAAGTGTGTTGTGGAATGAAGTCTATCTTTTTTTTTTTTTTTTTTTTTTTTT